GCTGTTATGTGCTGGATTGTCTCAGGGGCATCTTTGCACAGCTTGCACCTGGGGTCCTGTCTGGTATGGTAGACCCCAGCCTCTATTGATCTTGTACTTGGAGCTTGTTCTTGTGCTGCCATGATTAGTGCCTCTGTGCTGTCTTTCAGTCCAGCTTTGTTCAACCACTGATAGGATTTTTCGATATCAGCCACTTCTTCCATCTGATGGTGGTACATACTGTGCAGGTTTGTCCTTCCATGAGGGTTCCTGCTCTTCCTTCCTTGTTCCTCTGTTTTCTGCTGCCTGCGGTGTTCACTAAGCACGTCATCACTCGGGACTCATCACTATTCATGGATCTTTGTTGTTTCATCCTGGATAGTGGCTCTGATGCTCATTAATCCTCAGCCTCCTTCCTTCCACTTAGTGTACAGTCTCAGGATGCTGGACTTGGGGTGAAACCCACCGCACATTGTAAGGAGCTTCCTTGTCTTGATGTCAGTGGCCTCTATCTCCTCCTTCGGCCAGCTTATTATGCCAGTGGGGTACCTGATGACCGGCAGGGCATAGGTGTTAATGACCCAGACTTTGTTCTTTCCATTCAGCTGACTTCTCAGGACTTGCTTTACTCTCTGCAGATAGTTGGTAGTTGCTGCTTTCCTTACAGACTCTTCATGCTTTCCATTTGCCTGCGGGATCCCAAGGTACTAGTAGCTGTCCTCAATATCTGCTATGTTGCCTTCTGGTAGTACAATCCCCTCAGTTCTGACTACCTTCCCTTTCCTTGTTACCATTCGACCACACTTATCCAGCCTGAATGACATTCCGATGTCCTGGCTGTAGATCCTAGTGGTGTGGATCAGTGTCCAGAAGAGTGCAGTCCTAGGAACAGCTAAGATACTGCGCAGGACCCTTGGGGTCCCAGGCCTCTGGTAGAGGACCTGAGCTTGAAGGAAAGAATAAAGACCGTCCTGAAATCGGGTGAGTGGGGAATTTTTTTTTTTTATATATATCTCAGTCAATGGTCATATGCTAAGTATATGAGTCAAAATAAAGTCAGTGGTCTGGACAGACATGAATGTAAATTGCTTGACTGGTTGACAGAAACACATCCGTAAGGCAGGAGGTAGTGCATGAACATCAAAAAGAGAGCTTCAACTCAGATGCATGGGCAAATGTTTATTTTTTTTATTAATATAATTAATTTTACAGTATTATCACATTTCAGGTTGATTATAAAAATAGTCCCATTTGGATTGAATGGACAGTTAATATTAGGCAATATTAAAGGACAGATGCCAGTTTTTACATTATAGGATTCTGATAAATAATCTTTGAAGGTCTTTGTAACATAACACACACACTGAGTAAGACAGATAAAAAGTCAAACAATAGTTTGCATGTACACACATGAACAGAGATGCAGTCAGAACTCCCTTTTGTGCTTTGGGGTTTTAAGAGTCAAGTTTCACTAGGTGAGTGTTGTTTTATCTACCTTTAACAAAAACTTGTAATTTCCCACATCACTGATTTTTATTTGTGGTGCATAAAAGAGAACACCACAGTTATTCTTTATCTTAATCCTAAAATTCCATGTTTTACTAAACCAGCTTCCTCACCTGTATTTAGACTCATTTGTGGCTGATCAGGAGTTGGATAGTTCTGCCAAACACTGAGCCCTTGTGGATTCTCTAACAAGGCTGGACGTGTTGAATACAAGAACACTACACTTCCTTTCTGCCTACTCTGCTGTAATTCCCCCAGCTCACTTCCTCACTTGCAGATCTTGCAAAGGTGTTTTAAACTACAGTGCCTTCAAATGACCTTATGAAACTGCTGAAAGGTGTTACCGCATTAGTTCATTTGGATTTAGACATACTTGATCAGAGACTCAAAATTCCTTTCTATGATTTGTCATTCTGAATCTGAACAGCGATTCTAAGGGTTCCTGGTGGAGAGTTAGATGAGAAGACTGATTGCACTCCTGTCTGTCTGTTAGTTGTTGCTGGCTGCCTCCAGCTTCCAAGAAATCACTGTGTGGCTTAAAAAAAGAAAAGACATGGAAAAAAAACCCATTTTAGTGAGCTTTGAAGTGCATAAATTTGCATTACACACTAAAGGTAGGAGTAAGACTTGAATATACATGTAAGGCCCACACAAAGAGATGGGGGTGGGGGATTAAGGAGGGTGAGAGAATGAAAAGGGGATTTTTTTTTTAAATGTCCAACCAATCAGTAAACTCTACAGTTGGCAAGTACATGTAAATACACACATAAATACACACAGGCACGCTCTCAGATATGCCTGGTGAATGGCAATGCTGTGGTAATGACCGTATGCAGGACTATACTCATGTCAAGGGTGAGTGGGTGCAGCCAAACCCCAACCGACTATTTGCTATAAAAGTGTTTGATCATGTTTGAAGATAGTTTACATTTATACAAATCTTCTGTTAAATTGTTTCCTTCTGCAGTGGATTTCACAACAGTTATGAGAGGGTGGGAAATAGAAATAGTATAACCTGACATCCTTATATCAGTGTCTCTACCACTCCTTTTCTTTGTCTCCCCCTCAGCTCTATTCCTTCACTTGATGCTTTCGCCTCAATCTTAGTTTTATCCTCTTTCCTACTCCCCCTTCAGCTCAATTAGTCTCCTCACCACCTTGCTCCACTGATCCTTCTTTAAACTGATTTCAGTCTTATTTCCATTCCCTTTCTGCCTCATGACTCACGGAGGATATTTGTAAGCATCACAATTAGTTGGAAATGTGGGTAAATATAGGTCAGAGATGTTAAAGATGCACTACGTGTGAGGGAGCACATCTTGCACTTAATTACACTGTGGACACACCTAAGGGAGGGCCTTGCAGACTCGTGGTTTCTCTCAGTTTACCTGCCTGACAGCACGTTGCCTGCCTCAGCCTTTAAACCTATGGTAGGAGCTTTGAACACTCCTACTTCCATTGTTCTACTTGTTCACTCCATCCTTTATTGCTCCAAAATCTGATCTCATCCCATATCAGTTTGAACCTCACAGCTTTATTTTACACTGCGTCTATTCTTTGTTTGTCTGGATCTGAAAATTACAGAAGGAAAAAAAAATAATAACCCTGAATTGTGCTTTGTAACTTGAATACCTTTTGTTTGTTGAAAAAACACACCAAAACCTTTTATGAGTCCTATGACAAGACCAAGCTGTGGTGTGGCATGGGAAGCAGCACTCTAACTGATACGGGTAATGGAAGAATTAAATTGTGTAAATTAAAGGGTTTACACTAATAATAAATTACAGTGTGACTGTCTTGTGGGTTCGACTCTCAAACTGACCTCATAACCTATTTATGTTTCACCACTGATTCCTGCCGGATGAGAAGTTATGATGGTCTAAATAAAGAAAAGCATTTAAAAACTAAACAAGAAACAGGTTTGACATTTCTGTGGTCTATTGTCCTCAGGAAAGCATTGCATCCAAAATCTTTTATCATAGCATTAGTGCTCTTGTATCCTGCATGAGGGTTGTCCTCCCTGTTTTCTTTATAATCTATTACACATCACGTGGCAAGAACCTGCCCTACATCCAAATGTGAGTCTAGGAGTGGTAAGACTCTTGAAAATTGGACATGAAAAAAAGGTGAATGACTACACACACACACACACACACACACACACACACTGACTTAAACATAACCTTACCCTAACCTTAACTATAGTTGTCACTTTAAATTGTAATGATTTGTGTTTTGGGGGCTTGCCTTTTGACCTTATAAGGATGTAGAGTCCCCACAGTGTGACTGTGTCAACAGATTTTGGTCTCCATGATATGAGTAATACCAGGCACAGACACACACACAACTGTGCAGCAGTGGTGTCCCCAGCTGGGAGTAAATAAGGAGCATGGCCAAAGTTAGCTGTTTAAACAAAATAAACAGTTGGGTTCTTAAAAATGTATGGTGTATTAATTCATAGAACTGGGGGTTTCATTTACTTTTTACATGTATTTCAAATGTGCTACCTCTCTGAGCCTGTGCCCCAGCCTGGCTCCTTTTTATATGTCCTCAACAGTCCAAACGACAGGCCTGACAGGCAGCTAGTTAACTCACTGGGCTCTGGGCTCCTTGTAAATCACAGATTAGACAGTTTATAACATTCCTTGGGGTGTTTTACCCACTGAAGGGGGCCCAACAATTTACAGGGATTATATAGTGTGCCTACATTTAGGTATGCAGATAATGAGCATGTGTCAGGGAGAGCAAAGCATTAGCGCCACATAGGAGCTAATCCAGCAAGAAGTGGCAAGGAACTGGACTAAGAGAGACTAGTTTCAAAACAAACATGGCCAAAGATCCAAACACCTCCACTCAAATAATGTCACTGAACAAGTCTCTAATCTCACAATTTAGAAGCTGAATTAAAGGGAGACAGGTGACATGATAATTTGAAAAAGTAGAGCAGGAACGTCGCCTATTTTGAAAAGGACTGTACAGGTATCACCATGCCCAAAAAGTGAGAATTTCTTTGCCAAGAAGAGAAAAACAGGCCTAAATTTGCTAAAATTTTTTAAAAAGGTTCTTGGGTTCCTGGAAGAGTTGTGACCTAAATACTGAATTTTCAGTGGATTCATTTTTATTTAGAGGTAAGCTGCACTGTTTCATTCAGCTACCTCGGCGCCAAATGTTCACATGCAGCGCACTCAGTCATGTGGCAGTACCTTTTGTCTGGAGGTACTGATTGCTGTCATTCAAGATCTGTTTGTATTAACATGCAAAGTAGGGAGAAGGGATGCTGTGTAGCTTCAGATACTGGTGAATTGATGAAATATGATACAGGAAAGCTGGTCTAATAGATCCACAGGTTTAAAGGCTTATCAGATGCCACAGTACTGTGCAGTATCGGACAACACAGTAAGAAAGAATTCTACACTTTGTCTTTACAGTCATTATTGCGACAGTCATTTTATCTTTAATCTTAACAAGTGTGAAGTAAACGATAGAATCACCGGGTTTGTTACAAAGTAACCTTCTAAAAACGTGTGCTTGCATATTTTTTTCTGACAAAGATGCTGTTGCATTGCCTTAAAACCAGATTTAGTGCTGCAGCAGTCTTCTGTGTCAGCACCTGAACTCAACAAGGAGACTGAGTTTTTACCATAAACACAAAGACCGGTGATGTAACGCTAATTTTACTCTAATGAGCATTCAATGTGGATAGAATTATGTGTCCTCATGCAGTTGTAGGCATTGGTGATCTAACTTTTTTTTTATCTACTCAGCTTTTAATACGATCACAGTTGCTTCTGTCCGTAACCATGCCTGAAAACATCGGTTTTGAATCTCACAAAGAAAGTTTGAAAATTTGTTTTAATGCATGACCAAAACTTTCCCAGACCGACCTAACCACTCTGCTTCAAGCTGTGCACATATTACCCCTTTCCCTTCATGGATCCTTTTTACTACCGTTTTATAACCCTTTGGTAACTGAAACCCGTTTTCTTATGGACTTTTTTGTTATTGGTCTCAACTATTATCAGAAAATAAAAGTTCCCTCCTCCAGTGTTCCTAAGTGGCTTTCTATAGTTTAGACAGATGAGATTACTGCACACTGCTTCAAAGTGCCATTTTATTCATAAGGATAAATATGTGTCTGTCTGTTGTGAAAAACGTGCAGGAATTTGTTTTCTCTGTTCTGTTTTTGTTTACAATCAGCAGCGATCTGAATGAAATGTGCGAGTATCCATTTGTCGCCCAAAAACAGGGAACGGCGATGACGCCTAATTAAAGCTCTTGAAAACACAGCATTCACCACACGGCAACCTTTTCCTTATTTTATATAAAAACAATATCATTTGAAAATAAATATGCTTTACTGTTTACATTGACACAGAACACGTTAATAGTGAAGACAAAGAACTAATAATAATCAGGGCTCTAAGACTGATGGCAGATTGTTAAAACTGGTGGTTTTGCGGTATTGTATGCTGAGCTGCTAGCAGTAGTTTATTTGTATTTGCATCTTGCAGGACGGACAAAAAACAGGTCCGCTAGGTACTTAAATACTTAAATACTTAAATACAACAGAATAACACCTATGCACATTCATACACACACGTACACAAACACAAGTTAAAATTCTGCACAGCACCGCCACACACACAGCACTTGTGATAAGAGGGGTTGATCAAATCCAGAGATGTCATGAGTACATCAATACAAATGAAACATTTAGGGAATGTTAACAAATCATTATAGATTTTTTTTGTTAGTTTTTCTGTTGTTGTTTTGTAAAAAAGCACAACTGCTGAAAGCAGCCATCAGCAACTTACACATGGGGTGAGCCAAAGGTACATAACACTGCACATATAAATAGACCAAATTAAATATGGGGAGAAGACTGAATACTGAAAAATACTCTATATTATAAATTATCTAAAATGGACTACGGCCTAAAGAGATATTGAGTATGCACAAGTTCAGAGTAGAAGATATGTAATCAGTGGATTCTGCATTAAGCAACTAAACTGACAATACCTCCTCTTGAAAAAGGAAAATAATTTAAAAAGCACTCGAACGATTTCTCAGTACATTTTGTGAGGCACATGTTTTTTTAAAATGGAATCAAACTACAGTATAGGATGTTTTCAGTGGTTTTCATGTAGGACATGCCATAGCAAAATGTTAAATGCTATTATTGATGACCAGTATCCCTTTAAAAACATATGGCACTCCAGGGTCTCTGCTCCTGGAAGCTGACCACAATGGTGAAAATATTGTGTGTCCACGTCAGTCCTGCAATGTCCTCGGAGCAAAAGACACAATATCGTGAAGAGGCAGATTCAAGATTTCCCATCAATGGTTTCACTTATCCTTCTGTTTTATTCCGAAAGTAGACGTCAACCGACAAAAATCCATCCGCCATTTTTGAAAGGAGAGCTTTCCCAAGTCCTCTTCAGCCTCTCTTGTTGTTTTAACAGATAAATATATCATAGCTTGAAAGTTGTTGCAATTTAAGATTTACACACAACCACAGTAGACTCATAGTAGACTCCAGTGAAGTAATTGCATATATGTCAAGCCTACACCTGCAGTGCAAGCCTGTTAGAAATGCAAAACCACATGGCAGCTATTTGCTTTTTTGTCAGATGGATTGAGTTATTTGTTTCTGTAGCAGCATAACAATTTAGTTTTTTTTTTAAATCATTGTCTATATACACACACAGATATACAGTGGGAGGAAACTTCGGTTCAGTCTTTCTTTTGATTCTCTTTGTCAGTCCAAGGGGAATGCTTTCCACAGAAAAGAAGAGTTTACGGTTCAAAGGTCAAAGTGCTTTGCTGTGAAATATCGCAAGAATATTCCTTCATCTTGTACATCTGGTGCTCCCACCTTTCTCATCTTCTTGGCCTGTCACATCTAAACAATAACAACAACAACAACAACAAAGTCAGAGATTTGAACCCGTAGGTGTTTTACTCAGGTATATACACAAAAAGAGCCAAAGTAACACCATCAGATCTGCTGTCGCACTACTTCCTGTAACTCTGCAATCCGGCATTACACTTCTTTTCTTTTGGTTTCTAGGTTAAATACTCATACTCTAAGATAGATGTGCTTGCTATTGGAATTTGAAACTTTCATGATTTTAACAAGAAATAGTTTGACATTTTAGGACATTTGCTTTCCCTGTAGAGAGTTCTTCTTATCTTAGCTTAGCTTATCATATAGACTGGAAACAGCTAGCTTGATTCTGTTTGGAGCTAACAAAATCTGCTTACCACTAGCACTTTTGTACCATGAAGCTCAGTACTTAACATCTTATTTCCTGTTTGTTTAATCTGTACACAAAAAGAACAACTCCCTGTTTTACAGGAGGATATGAGTTGGACTATTTCCTGTCATGGACCAATAATTTCTTGGAGTGTTTCTGCTGTTTCAGTTGCTGGCTCTAGCTTTAATATTTATGGTATGAACATGAAAGTCTTCCACTAAAAACACATATATAAAATAAATTACAATTTTATACCCTTTTCAAAAAATAATCATCCCTGTATAAACAAACGAGCCACATGACTTAAGGTCTTTTCACACTAGAGGCATGTTTTTGCACATCAATAATAATTTTCAAAGTAACACTCTACCAGTGAACCCCTGCACATCAGCGAAGGAATACTGCTGAGTGAAAAGATGCATTTATTTTTCTTTAAACTTTTTGCCGGTGGCAGGAACACCTGCCCAATCATAAGACAGCTTGCTGTAATGTTGCAACATTGTTACCATAAGTGCATAGTGCACCAATCAGCTAAACCTATCTGATTTATTTAGTAAAGTGGTGTTCAGTATATTTTACCTCAGACATACGGCCAGGCACTATTCCAGGTTGATCGGGTCATTGTAATTGCTCCTCTGCCACTTCAAGTGCTGTGGCAGCAGCAGAAACTCCTCAAACTGTCCCAGGGACATCCAGAAGTGGGTCCAAAAACAACCATGGTACAGTTTCAACCCCTGCACCAAGTAGTGAAACTTTTCAAGTTGCCTTTTTTTTTTTTCTTTCAATATAGGATGTACTCCTTGTATTTAGCAGAGCCAGCATCAGGTCATCATCGCTTGATGTGGACTTTTGTAGTGCAACCTTTTAGAACTTCAAATTCGCATGCCGTTTGATGTGAATATATGTGGTGTGTTTAAATTGCCTCCGACAAACACTACTTCATATCGTTTATTCATGTCACTCTTGGTGTGAAAAGACCTTTACTAAGGTTTGCTTTTTACAAATGTCAATGTGACTGTCTGTTCTTTTTTACTTCTTTGGTAGAACTCATAAGTTTTGGTTTCACTTCAGCTCTCTAAGGTGCCAGCACTTACCTGCAAGTCCTCTCGTTTAGCTCTAGTTGGCGTTCTTTACAGTATTCGTCTGTGTGTTTGCAGAAGCACCGGCAGGTTACAGGATCCTGCAGGAACAAACGCTTTCTCCTGTCTGAGCAGTGATCACAACATGGCTCACAAACACTGGACACAGACAGACACACAGGTGGGGAGGAAGAAGGGGAAAGGCGGGTTATCACAGTGTAATATGCCCCTCCATAAGAAAGGTCACCCTTAGGTCATCCCTTTCGTATACTCCAGTTTGCTCATCCAACCCACTGCCTGACAAGTTGTATTGCATGTGACAGTTGGGTAGCATTGCACAAAAGTTCCCACAGAGCAGGCAAGCAGTAAAGTTACCCTCCAACACGCCCCTCAAACCCTCTGGCCTTGATTGGACCACTCACAAATGCCTTGTACAGTATGTGTTAGACATGCAGTGAGCAACGCTCTGGACCAGTTAATGCAACACAAAAGAAGACTCAAGGGTCTGCTTGGTGCATCATTACAAAAGATTTCATTTTATTTAGTGAAGATTGAGGACTATGTTGCTCTCCTGCAGACAGACAGATTCAGAACAGAAGCTGAAATTACATTTCTTAGCAGAGAGGGGAAAGGAACAGATGGAGGCTCAAATACTCCACTGACATCTCAAAATTACAAATGAACACAGACATGTATTTTTTCACAGTATAAGTACTGAAGAAACATAAGATCTTGATATTATTTTTGAATAAAATATGGTTGCTTTGTGTGGTTTCAGAGACAATAGTAGCAAAGACACAAAAACTGTACTTGCTCAACAATTTGCTGGTTTACAAATCCCCCAGCATAAGAAAAAAAAAGGAAATAGATAGCTATCACTCATATCTTGACATTACATAAAAAGTTCCAGCATTATACATTGGCCAGCAAAACGTGTTTGCAAAGATGAAAAGAAGAAGAGTGAAAAAGGAGACAGGTACGAGACACAGCAAAGGGGCACAGACTCAACACTGAACACAGGACCATGATTATAGTCCTGAGGATCCCAGCGCAGATACCAGAAGGGTAGGGGCTGGCCAGCAAAGCCATGCTGGTGGAGCTGTGATCGGTTTCACTAGAAGCTTCAAGTTACAGATACCAGTTGATCTAAGACCTGTTTGTTCCAGTTTTTTAATAACATGTCCATTATCTACGATAAAACTGGCTATCTAACAAGATGCTAGAAGCAATTTGTACGTATGGTTTCTACTGTTTTTCCTGATACCCTGCTGTATCTCATTCCAACCATCATTCCAGTCTCAACTATAAGGAGTGACATTCTTGTGAGCATTGTGCCGGTAGGGTTGGGAAGAGATTAGAAGGGGATTTTGAAAGGTGGAGGCGTGTTACGGTTCTTTTTTTGCAGGGTATGACTAGAAATTCTGCTGTATCACTGTTATGTAAAGTTTTGCTAAAGCTACATTAGCAAAACACATTAGCAAACAGGGTAGCTGAGACACTGATATTCTGAATACATAAAACATGACTGTGAGAATGTTAGAGCAATGCACAGAGGCAACATGCTAACTGGTGTGGCTAATGGGGCAGATTAAATGGTGAAAGTTAGCTAAAAGGGGCAAAAGAGCTCCTCCCAAATGAGCTTAACTATGAGAAGCGCAACACTCAGGTGCAGGTAAGTAGAGAAGGCAGAGCTGACATACGCATCATGAATTGTTTTGTCACGGTTTTTCTTTTGTTTTCTCTTTTGGCCTTTGCCCATGCCTTTCCGGGATTTTCTGTAAGAGAAAGAGGACAACAACGCAGAGATGTCTGAGAGACTGACGAGAGAAAAGGACTGAAGTGTTAGCTGATGGTGATGTTTAGAAAATCTTAAACCGATGATTGCAAAAACCAGCAGCCACTAATAGCAATCTTTTTATGATTTCCATCAGTCAGACTGTCTGTCATGCAGGTTATTTTTAATTAGATTATTGTTACTCATTTCTTTGGGACAATATCTTGTCGTATTATGAGGAAGGCACCGAGTAGGGTTAACATGGGAGTCTATGAACCATATCCCATTATGCAACAAAGTACTAAAAAATTTTACTTTTTAAAAGCTGAAGCAACAATCAAATGTGTCCAGATTTGAAAAGACATGCTCACAGTAATGCACCTTATGGTTTCCATGAGAAAAATCAATCAACTGTCTAACTCAGGTAAAAAAATAAAAAAAGTAAAAAAGGTGGCTGTGCAGAAATGTCCCAGATGGACTGAGCACAATAAACTTGGACTTCACCAAAACTGCATCTTTCAAAATATCTGGGTCAATGCTTTATGGCTGATTCAACTTGTTTCAGAGCAGAGCACAATGAGAACAAACCGGTACATGATCATGAAGCCTGCACCTGAAGTTTCACAGGTGCACGCTGGACTAAAATATCTCTTTGTGTCTTCTAATACAAGCTGAGTTCCACATGTATTTGCTGTGTAAGATGTAAACAACTAGGCTATACTGAAAACATTTGTTACACTTATACAAAAATGCAAAACAAAGTTGGTGACATCTTAAATAATATTGCTAGTTGGTGTATAGAATACATCAATGCTGATTTTTGTGTGGTAATAATTCAATCAATCAGTCAATAAAAATCTTACCACATCATGATTAGCTAATTTCTGGCCAAAACGGAAGTGCAGAAATGTCATGTAATTATATAAACACATCATAGGATCAGGTGGTTTTCTGTGATTTAGTAGTGCATATTATTCCCATTTTTTTCTACTTATCCAGCAGTAACTTATATCTTCACATGTATTGTCCTGATCTCATCAATACTTGCCTTCTGATGTAAGAGTGTTTAAAACCGATGCTACACCACATAGCAGCTTCTTTGCCAAAAAAGTACAATAAATTTGCTATGCAGGCTGTGGAAGTAGTCTGGTGAAAGATTTAATGTAAATGATGGTTTTGCCCGACATAAATATGACCCGCTACTGGATAACAAATAAAAATAGAGAGCCTACACCCATGCTAGTGACTCTGTGAGGATGTGCTTACTGTAGAACAGCGCTGCTTGGAGCTAATTGCTAACATACGCATGCTAAAATGCTCACAGTGAGAATACCATCATATTTAGCAGGTTTACCATCTTACTTCAGTGTGTTGGCATGCTAATATTTGATAATTAGCATTAAACAAAGTACAGCTGAGACTGACAAAACATCATTATCACTATATCAGAATTCATCCTCTGCAGATCACGAATGTGTGAACCAAACTTCAGGACAACTCATCCAACAACTGAGGGGCTAAGTGAGTCCCAGCTGGGGTTCAATGACAAAAATGACACCATTCATTAAGGAACAGAGTGAAACCGCAGTGTTTCCAAAGTCTGTTTCTCTCAGAGTTGGCAGTTATAGTGTCATGGCCTTACAGGGATGACTCAGCCAAACTGACACGTCGACGTTGTGCTACGGAGAGGTCAGCAGCCAACATTCAAACTAACACGAGTATGAAAACGTCAGAAACAGAAGTTCAATGATCCTAAGATCATCACTTTGTAACAACACGTCACCAAAATCAGACTCAAACAGTTAACACAAGGTCAAAACTGGCCTCTTATCTATATGACAGACAACCTCACATAAAACTAAACTACAACCAACAACCACCAGCAAGAGAAAGCTATCAACTGGTTGTAAGAAGGAGGATTCAAAATTTTAATGACCTTTAGCACACTGACGTCTGTTGCATGGAGGTTCACTTAAGAAAAGGTCATACACACAAATATTTAACAGGTCTTTAAAAACACTTATCTATATCAGTACAGCCAGGAATCTGAGTAACAGAAGTTAAGTAGGAGGTAAACAGTAGAAAAAAAAGAAAAAGAATGTAAAGATGAGAGAGAAAATGGAGGAAATGTGTAAAAGGACAGGTATAGAGAGGGCAAGGACCTCATCAGGTGTTACTCATTTGCCTGAGTGGATGTACTGTAGCTGGTGTTCCCAGCGTTTGGCACCTGAGAGCTGCAGGCTAATCTCGGCATAACATGATCTCATGTAGCAGCTTGTCTGCTTGTTTCTTAATGAAATATTATCATTATGGAGTGTTTCTGTGTTTCAGCATGTGAAAGAAAGTGGAGATAGATCAATTAAATATGAAAGAGACATGGCCAACTGAGAACAAACTGAAAGAAGAAAAGATCAAATCTCCATTCCCTATTGATTCTCCCAAAAACCATAATCTGCATGCAGAAAGAGCGCGGTACTCACTTTTCTTTCTGTTCCTTCACTTCTTTCTTTAACCTGAAAGGCAGGAACAAAACAACATGACATTAGATCACAGCCCGAAATTGTTTCCTGGTAAACAGATACATATCAAGATCATCAGAGACAAGAAGGCTCATTATCAGCAAGGGTGGGCTCACATCAATCTTTTCAAACCATTGTTACATCATCATCCTTTTATCAGAACCCGTGATGAAACTATTTCACTTTCAAACGCCTGGTTTAGTAAATGAACCAGATTTGTTGGGAAATAATGCCATCTACACAGGCACACAGAGGGGTGTGTTCATGGAAGGATACACACACACACACACGACTACAGTAGCAGGTCGTTAGGTTTGGTTCACTTGCCATCCATGTGGTGATTCTTGCTGATAACAATGAATGGAGCAATACATTTGCTGGCACACCCCAGAGGGGCCAAATACCCAAAGGTATTAGGAAACTTTCACTCAAGAAAGTCACAGACAGCTAGCTAAGCTTCTGTTTGAGAGACTGGCACGACAACTCAACATAAATATGCTGAATAAAGCAGAAGGGTGTTTGTATATGTGTGTTTATACAGTTTAATGGACTGTTGGCCCACTCATACTGTATGCATGATCACCTGTACTGAAACCTATTTAGGTACAGTATGTAGTGGTGAAAGACAGCAGCAAAAGCTATTCACATGCAAGCAAAACTGCTTTAATTTGTTCTAACAACAAGATTCACTCAACCTTCAAAAATAAAAGGTAGAATAACCCTTTAAAAATTGATGAATTGGATTATTGTTATATGTGCACTGCAAACAGCACTTAAACATAGATGGTTAAAGGTATAATCATTAAATGTTTCATTAAATTTGATGCTATAATGTAGTAGGCTTTTTAAATGTTAGTGCCAGGATCCACCATTCCTGTGTTGGAGTGAAGTTGCCTCCTTGTGCATGAGGGATTCAAGGGAAACAACGCAGCAATGCAATGCAGGGTTACCATTTTATCTCATTAATATCAACCACTGTTTATTCTTCTAGATCTGTGTCAGAGCAGTATTATGCTACTGCTAATGGTAGCACTGCTAATAGTAGTGTTTATAGTGTAGCATTAAATAGAAATAACACAATTACTTCAAAATAGATTAACGCGTTTCATTTCTTTGTACTTTAGCTTTATGCCATGCTACATACTCATTTCTGGAAAATGCTAACATTTGGTGACCTGTTCATAGCACTTATGGTCTAAATTTCATTTTCTGAACACTATAGTGAAGCCACAAATTAAAGTAGTGCTAAATTGATTGTTTACAGCCTTTATCTCTAATGAAGGTGCCCTAAAGGTTTATAGCTATACTGTTTCTAAATGACTTTACAGTTAGCCTTGAAAAACAGCACAGAGCAGTGAAGCATTACGTTCAAAGTGACGGTTCTTTATAGCAGGGTGTTTTACAGATAGACTGGGGCAGCCTGCCTCAGTGCAGGGAGACTATTTTTGATTAGGTATCTCAGAGAAGAAGCACTAAGTGACACCAGATCTTGGTTCTCGTTCAATAGTCCTCCCTATTGTTTGTTTGCTTGTTAGATTCCCTTTAATCAGATCTCTCCCTGTACTGCTGTGTCACAGTTTACTCATTCATGCCGCATTGCTTAAATCTCAGCCAAGAGGCCCAAGAGCAGGGAAAGGTGACATCTGTTAATGACTGACCCAGACATCTTCACCTGAAGGTGTCTCCTTGTTTAACTTTTGGACACCATCTAATTCTGTAGTTAAGTCAAATGCCAGCAAAAGAAGAGAAACCATTTAAGCCTGTTACTAATTCAACCCAGATTTAGTCAATAACACTTCCCTGTCAGCAGGCTTTAATAGGTTGGATTCAAATACCTCAGCTGTCTTGCAAAACAAAAGAAAAAATAACAATCTGAGTTGTAAAATGTACAAATGTGTAGACGCTGAGCTGACAGACGACATCACCTGACAGTGGCTAAAGGCCACAGAGGGGGCACACAGTCCTTATCCCACAGATCAATAACTAAAGCTATCACTCCTGTGTAATTCCAGGAATGACTTCTATATGCCACAGAGTGAAAACAAAGGCACTCACACAGATGAATCTCTTACTTGCGCAATGTGGCTGAATGATGACAAATTAAAGCAACGTGGAGGACATCTGTTTGGATCCGCTCATTTTAATATTAGTGAAGGGAGAGAAGCAAAGTTATGAACCTATCTGATATGGATCTGTTAAATGTGTCTGAGGCAAACTGAAAGAAATATCTTTAAATGATGTGTGTGGTTGACGTGTGCTCTGCTGCCCAATAGCACAGTGGTTTGTGTTTCACTAGCGTGTGTCTGTGTTTGAGTGTGTGTTTAGGGTTTCTTACCTACACTCACATGCGCTGTGTTCTCTAAAACTCAGGAAAATATTATTTTGCTGCCTTTGGAGTTTTATTCTTTTAATCTGTAAAACAAAAAGAGAATTGTTGTTGAATAAAATCCATTGTGACCTACAGTATTTCTACACATTTTAAAGGCTTTTATAGAACATTTGAAGAAGAGACAAAGTCAAAGGCTATGTAGACACAGAAGGATCAACAAAAGGTCAATGAGAAAGTTCACTGCCAAATCTGCTCATCCTATTCACACCAGAAGAAGGCAGAACTACTTGCATATTAAAGACCTCTAAAGGTCTAACTGTCCTACATGCAAACATGAGGCAGGTATCATGAGAGTTTTGGAACAGCTGTGTGTTTCAAACCCTGCTCCTTGGATTATTAGATGGTTCAGCACATCAACAGCTGGAAGGCACAAACTCTTGATCAGCTCAAAACATCTACTTTAATTCATCAGAGCAGAGGGTAGAGGAGAAGGAGACTGAAAACAAGCAGGACTATTGGTCTCAATATGTTATACTGTAGCTGAAATGCTAAACATGTGGTCAAGATTTTTTCTCAGTCATCCAGACAGACTCCTCTCATACACAGCATGAGAACCAGAAGTGAAAGTTAAATAGGGCCACCATTACAAAAAGCACCCAAAATACGGCTGCTGACCTCCATTGTAACATTATAGGTGGATGTTGGCGTGCACTCCAGCATCTCATCATTGCAGCAACCAGCGCAGCGTGTCAATACCACGCAGGACGGGATGAAGATATGTTCCACTTCATCCGGATACTCTTGCAGAATCTCCACCAGCACTTCCCGAGGCTGGCACAAGCTCTTGTTGTACACCTCCATTAAAGGGATCACTGAGAGACAGAAACAATATGTGTGTGGTTATGAAATGACAGAGAAGCTCTAGACTAAGCCACTGACTCCTGAATTCTGTTGTTCTATAACAATAGCAGACAACTAAAAGGAGACAAGAGCTCTGATGGGAATCACAGTATAACAGGAAAAAAACTAACATGTGTGCATGTTTTACATTGTATTACTCAACTGAGAAGCAATTGGTAACATGCACTTGTCTACCTATCAGATTTTAATAATTGCTGAAGTTAAGCGTCATAACTCTACTCCCCACGCCTGCCCCCAAACCCCTTCAGTCTTTGCAAGAGTTCAACTCTTGAGAAAGACATTAGCACACACAGGCAACACCTCCAAAATATCACTCACTGAGAGCATTAGTGAGCCTTAAACAACCCCCAGCCTGACAGCCCTCTGGGAGGCCTAACCAAACATACAGGGCCTGAACAATATCATGAAGTTCAGCTTTTGATTGTCCAAATTAGATTGGGCAACACTGGGATTGTGCAAATTGTGGGCCAAGAGGGTGAAATTCCATTCTATAAAAGAGTCTGGTCACCATAACATTTCCCCTGCTTAACTTCAAACTATAAGGAATGCTGTACAGATGAAGATGTTCCACAGGTGGGTTTTGGGGTGAGGGTGCTCTCATTTAAAAAAGGGGAGAATTTGGGGGTCATGTATCTAGACAGAATCAAAGTACAACGTTGTCCGCCAGGGGGCGATAATTCCCCTCTAAAGTCAAGGTGAACCTCAAACCAGCCCTTTTCTATTTGGCTCTGTGCCAGCCAGGGAGCCCAGTGGAGGGTGTATTCCCACGGTTCCCTGTGGGACACCTACCGTCATGTGGACCTCTTTCTGTTTCCTTCGGTATGTGGGCAGTCTGCAAGGAGAAAAATGCAAACTGTTAGTTACAGTAGTTTGTGCAAGTGCTCAGACAAATGGGCCCATGCCAATTACTTATCCAGAGTTGTGCATGGGCTATTTGCAATGATATTGGTGATCCCTACCAGAAAATGGAAAAAACCCATCTTATTCTGGACTGGCCTATGCCCAATATAGGGGGCAACAAGACTAAAATATTCATACTATGTCTCCTATAAGTATTGATGAAATGAGCATGAGACTTATCGCACAGGATGAATTTGTTCTTGTATGTCACATTTTAAGTGTTAGGAATATTTGTATCAACACTTGGAAATAATTTAAATCAGGACTCGATTCCTTAATTAGGTTGTCTGAATGACAACCATCATGCTGTTAATAAAGCCTTATATGGCTCAATCTTTGACTGGAGAAACAATATGCCAAACAAACTGAGCCAAATTCTGCCACATCAGCTACGTGGCAAAACTTCAGAAACGGCTGCTTCAGAAACTCTGCTGGTTTTGTTTCAGCTGCTAAACCTTTAATGTGCGCCTCTACTGCCTCTAGGCAACACGGTTAAATAGGTGTTGCCATTAAAACCGGCAAGAGCTTCAGCCTGCTACTTTCCCTCCCGGGGTGGAAGCTGTCACCACACCAGTCAGACCACAAAGGAGTTTGGCAACCTTCCATTAGTGCGCGCATTACGCACAACATCGCACACACGCGCCTAACCCCGCATCCCCTTATCTCACTCTCTTTTTTCCATTTACATGCGCGCGCTAATTCGCGAAATATCTCGCCAATATTGCATAAGTACCTAGTACCGGTATGTACTCGGTGATTTGGTGTTTTCAGTAAGAGTAGAAAATCGTTTCCATTCCTAAATGAAAAAGTAAAAAGAAAAAAATGCTGCGTGCAAGCTCCACCCCTTTCCGGTGGCGTGAGAGGGTCCAGCAATTTGGGCTGAGGAACCCCAGCCCTCCAAACCGCTATATCTTGTATAGTTAATGGATGCGCGTCAAGCTGCGAACACCGAAGTAAGTGATAACGGACCAACTGACACTGAGCAGTTAGATGTAGCATCAGGATACAATTTCGCGTTGACTGGGCGGATTAACTGTCATTAAATCACACAGTTAGTTAAATAAACATTTCACTGTAGTCTGGAGGGGTTTGTATTTCATTAGGTTTTGCACCGTGCCCGGAGAGGACTTATGATGCAACTTAAACCATCTTTGCTTCCTTTGACGTCAAAAACTCCCATTAATAAAAATAACGATTCAAGTCCAATCGTGTTGCTGGAAAATATGCAAACTCCAGCTGAAACGGTGTGTTGCTTTATTTACTTATTTATTTATTTAACCTTGAAACCTTTGCTGAAAGTCTCCCTGATCACAGATGCACTTGATTATATGGAACGTTTTTTACAATGCGTTCTGATACAGTCCTTAAAAGTTCTCCAGTCAATCTGATTCATTTGTGAGGTAATGCTTGGTTTGTTTTGTTAAATTGTAATGTGAAAACGGCCTAGTGTCTCTTGGTATTATAGCGGGCTCGGTCCCAGGAGAGAACCTGCTCATATGTCCTAATTCAGAATGGAGCCACTGCCCCTTTAAAGCGTAATAATATCTCCAAGGTGGTTTCAAAGCAGGCCTGCAATCATCCAACGTCAATTCTCACATTATTTAAAAGTCATCACATTTGCAACACAAAACTCGCATCACCCACGAGTGTGTGGGCTATGTTTATATATCGTTGGCTTTGCATAATGGATGTTTAAATCTCTCTAGAGCCACTAAACATTTCAGCTTGTTTAAACATGAGCGATGACCTAGTCAAAGGAAAATCAAGGACGAGCCAAACATTGACCAGTAACTACGTGTTCCAGAGTACAGATAGAAGGATTTGGGGGTTTTGTTTATTCTCTGAAAGACACGACTCACCTTGACAGCTGACAGCGTCAAAAATAATAGTGCCAAACTGTCAATAAAGTTCATGGTGTTGGGAATCCAATCTAAAGGCAGGCAACGTTTTAAAATCCAAGAGGCCAATGTGGCGACTGGTTCTCAACCATCAAGTTTACAACAAATAAAACACAAATAGACCGGCTAAAAGTTCTCTAAATAAGGGGCAGGGGGTTGTAATGGCAAATCCATGTTGGTCCCGTGGTCGGAGCATACAATCCCTTGCGTTGAACTTCTTTCTTCTCAGCTGTTTCCAATGATTTTCAAGATATCCAGAAACACCAGAATCCAAGACGCACAGCGTGTCACATTGTTCCGCAGCAGACCTGTATCTTCTTGTAAGGGAGTAGCAATCCACATTACAGAAATAATGCCATGCTTTTTGCGCCAGGCGTCTCCAAGTATCTGTCCATTGGAAACTTGTAGCCTACTCCTGTGTGCAACTTGAACCCACGGAGCAGGATGACGTTCAGTGAAAAAGACAACACCACTGAGAAATTCTCGTCCTACAAAACTTTATCTGTGTGCTCTGGCTGTTTTATTCCTCTGTCACTGCGCACCAAGCAGGTCAGCTCCCTCCCTTAACAGAATGCGTCCGCTTCTCGCTCTTCTCTGCAAAATGCGGTGACTCGGATGCCGCGGACGGGGATGATTGGTGGATTGATTGGAAGTAGGTAGGTGTGTCCTACATGGGCTGATATAGAGCACTGCGCTACTCTTTTTAGTCCTTTGCAAAAGTTGTACCCATTAAACATGGACTCATATAATCACACTACCGGCAAGCTATAAAAAAAAAAACGCAGAGCTGAGTTCAGGAGTTACGGTCCATTTTATTTTTTTTTAGCAACATATTATGGTAGTGATATTTTACACTGGTTTCCCCGGCTGAAACACCACCCACTGCGATCGTGCTATCAATTAATTCCCACTTGTCATGTGCAGTCTGCATCATGTGCGCAACCTTAAAAGCCCCGTCAAGGCTGCAAAATCTGCAACTGTATTACAAATGATTATGGCTGTCTTTATAGTTATATCGATGCTCTGACAATCTCTGAATAGGCAACTTCAGAACTCGTTCTTTGTGACGACACTGCCGGTTAACAAATTACTAACGCACACATATAACAAACAAATGATAATTGACGTTCGTCTTGTGCGTTTTTAGAGTAAACCTCGACTATTTCCGTGGCGGATGGTGTAACATATATAAAGAAGGTCAAGTGTGTATTGACTCAGGCTGATATAAGGTCACTGCCACACCTTATTTCCAGTATATATGGTAAAATATTTTCCAGTCCTCCAGTCTGCTTAGGGCTGTGCTCCAAATAGAATTCCTTTCATGGAAACGGGATAACTTGCAACAGAGTAAGTGTGTGTCCGGACACGTAGCCTTACTTATATGTGTGTGCGTGCGCCCTTCAACGTCGCCGTTTGTGATCTAACGCTCGCCGCAAGTCACGAGTTGTTACGGTATTATGCTCCACAACGCACACACCCATTCAAAATAGGAGCAGGCGCTTCTTGAATTACTTCCTGTCCCTCCAGCATTAAAGAATGGATTTACTGTGTGATGTTCCATTCAGCAGAAGCCACCTGACTGCTGGAGGCTGACCACAGCCAAGCTCCTTTTTTCCCCTCCGAGCTACAGCTCACGGCGAGGAAGATGAGTGCACGAAAAGTAAAAAGGAAGAGAGACTGTCGGTGATGCAAACGTGCTGACTGAAAAGGAAGTGACTATATAGTGACGCTGTTACAATGAAAATGGAGACGGTTACTTCAGGAAAAGTTAGGAAGTGAAAGTATCAACAATGAAAACACTCATCACTGTCAGTGTTATAATGCATTAACAGCTGACTTCTGTAGCTGGTGATCTGATCATCTGGTGTGTTTATACAACCTGAAAGGTGCCTACAGTAGAAAGCGCCTGTTAAATAAATGTAGAACAAAATATAAAGCAGCATACAGTGGAAATAATTAGGCTAGGTAAGGCACAAGCAACGCAAAGGAAATACTTAAGTACATTACTTGGATAAATGCCAGTGGTGTACTGTACTTAAAAATACAATTTCAAGTATCTTTACTTCAGTATTTTTATTTTCTGCTACTCCATATGTTGGCCTCACTACATTTCAGAGGATCATATTGTACTTTTTACTATACTACATTTATTTGATAACTTGTTACTAGTTACTTTTTAGAATACAGTATAATCATAAGGCTTTATTCACCCTCAGTGTAAAATTCACAAGCTACCCAGCAGTATGTAAACTACTTAAAAATTTAATTATATAATATAGTTAAAACTAGTTCCACTTTTACCAGCTGCAACATTAAATGTCATGTAAAAAGAATATGTCAATAATTATAATCCTATATTAATGTGAAATGCACCATTCTGCATAATGAGTACTTTTATTTTTTGGTACTTTAAGTATATTATGATGCTAATAATTTTACTTAAGTAACATTTTCAATGCAGTGCTTTTACTTGTAACAGAATATTTTTACCCTGAGGCATTACTGCTATAACTTAAGTATATAACCTGAGTACTTCTTCCACACCTGAATGAATGCTAGTGAAATCTCCACATAGTAGTGATGCCCTCTGCTGGACCAAAAGGCCACTGCATGCCTATAAATGTGACACCTCCAGCTTACTGAGTCATTGATAAACGCAAATTGCTATATCTGATTGGTATGTAATATCGTAGGCTGGCAGCTGTATGTCTGACGTACTTGTTTGCTACAACTCATACTTTACTGTACAGATAAATGGAGCGAGGGAGGAAAAAGGAGACAATGAGACATAATGGAGCAAAAAAGCTGAGAGGTCGGGTGAGTGAGAGATAAAGAGAAGAGAGCTGTTAGGAAGAGAAGGATTTGTCTGTCATGCAACCAGAGCAGTCCTGAGAGTTTCTTGGCTCAGAACACCTCTATGGTTTAATTGAAGAATAACAATTGGGTTCATTAGAAGTGTCACCGAGCTCCTCTTTCTGCTGACTCAGCGTGTGTGCAGTCAACTAGACAAGGTTTCAGTGGATACGTGTGAGTGTGCACATCCCAGTTTGTGCTGACTACATACACATACGTATGTAAACACACACTCTATAATGAAACGACTTTTTCCTAAAAGTACAATAAACAGCCTCCCCACCACTGATGCGCACGCTTTTGTAAACGTCATTATGGAAACAGAAAATCCGGGGGATTCCTGTTTGTGCTCTGGGGACAGCATGTACGTTTTCATACTATGGTAAACACTTCTTGAGCGGTGACTTTTAAGAGAACTTAAAAAAGTGTATGCAGCCAAAGTCATGCTGTTTTATGTCAGTCAGTGTTTTGGCCTTTTCCCAAAATGCCATGAGCAACCGCAGTCTGATTTCATGCCATGGCAGCCCAGGTTGTTTTTCACACACAGTAGGACAGAGTAAAAAGATTTGATTACCTTGTTGAGAATTTGACAGTGCAGAGCGTATCGCCTGCAGCTCTTCATCTAAGAGCTCACTTTGGCTGTTCCTTCTTGTTCCATTCCAACAGTAAGGCCACTTACAAATGATAACACTGCATTACATACATGCATTGTTTCCCATGAATCCCTCATGCATAGGAAAACTATTTGAATCCTGTGCAGAAACGACAGACCCTACCACTAACAATGGCCTCTACATTAAAACAGAATTTTTCCTGTGCCCTTAATCTGGCCATATTTGTATGATAACCAAAAGTTTTAACTTTTGTGCAAAACCCCTGTGTGATCACAGGCATTCCATTACCAAATGCCCAAAGGCTGACTGCCACATGCTTTCATCACCTGGCGCCAAATTATACATTCTTGTTCTGTTTCCTCTCCTCTTTCCTGCCTGCCCGGTACACTCCCTGTTGTAAAAAGTAAGTTATCACCTCTTGGCTTGTGTTTGTGAGAATTTAGGCTGCTGGTAAATGTATGAAAGAGAGTGATTTGCACAGAAAGAGCCCTCTGACCGAGTTATCGGAATCAACTTCTTCACCAACCTTATATCCAGGAATTAACCTTCACTACTTGTATCAACAATGTGCCCTGATAACATTCACTATTGACTACCATGTGACCGCGCTACATACGTGTGTGCACATTTACGCATGGGTCGATGCCTGAAACATTTATAAGGTAGACATGTGAATGCAGGTGTGTCAGAAAGCAGATGGTCCTATAGAAGAGGGCTCATTATGTATGTGTGTCTTTCAGAATAGGGTTTTAAAAATGAAACATCTATTCTCATGATGAGTGGTGAAACTAAGTACATTTACTCAAGTTCTGTACTTAAAGTACAATTTTGAGCTACCTGAACTTTGTGGGAAATTCACAAGCCAGCGGTATGTAAAGTACTTCAAATTATAAGTATATAAGCAGGTTAAAACTAGCTCTACCTTTACCAGCTGAAACATTAAATGTGATGAACACAATAATGCATCAGTAATTATAATAAATAATATGATATACATCAATGTTAAATGTTTTATTCTGCATAATGGATACTTTTACCTTTAATACTTTATGTTTGATGCTAAAACCTTGTACCTTTACTTAAGTAACATTTAAGAATGCAGGACTTTTACTTGTAACAGTAGTTTTACACTGGTATTTTACTTAAGTAAGGTATCTGTGTACTTCTTCCACCACTGCTTACAACTTTCAGGAATAGGGATGTGTGTAATTAAATGGCAAATTGTCTTGTGTTCTCTATTATGGATGGGTGGATATTACTCCAAAGTCAGATTCCTTCCTCACAGAATAAAAAAATGCTTCTCAAAGGAATCTTGGTGTTGTACCCAAAGATAAAGCAGGTTTTTCCTCTTTTGGTTACTGTTCACTAAATGTCATTCCATTCCAGAAGACGTCTGATGTACATTTGGACTTGATGTTACACAGATGACTTCACTCACTACTGGTAGTGGTTGTATAAATCGTCAGCCAATTCGTGTTGCAAGTGTTGACACTGCCCAGCTGTGAGGAACAGGCTGGACAGAAGCAGCGTGCATCCTCCAGATCTCCATTAGCCTTCCAACCTCCTCCTTCATCCTGCTCGCTTACAGTTAAGTACAGGCTTTTAGATGAATTGAGACTTCAAATTCAAGTGTTTTAACAAGAAAGAAAAATGGCTTCCCCTTTTCCTCTCTATATTTCACCACTCATCACTTTTCTCTCTCCTATCTTCACTTCCTATGCTTTGGTCAGTTCTGGTAAGTGAGTCGGTCTTTGTGTGCTCTCAGTCCGGCGGTTCAAAGAGTTCATAAGTCTATCTGGTTAGTGAAGAAGAAAAATAAAAAGAAAGAGCGAGCGAGTGGAGAATAACTTGACCAAAGGCCAGCCTGTCAACACTAATCATATCTAATATGTTGAAATCAGCAATGAAGGAACACATGTTCGGGCAGCGAGAGGGAAATGACAGCGAAGAGAGTGGTTAACGTGAACCAAAACAGGAACGCTACAGGCTGATAACCAGAAACATGAGCTGAAAGATGCTAAAATGCTCCACCAAACTGATTTGGAAAGCCATATTACATATAGTCCGTTTTTCCATTGTCAATGTAATATATTGTTTACTGCAGCTTTAAAGTTAGGGAGACATTGGACAGCTAAAGAGAACTGATGTTGGAAGCAAACCCTGGTCTTCCATTGTTGAACCAAATAAAACTAATTCTATTGTCTCAGCATATCTTTGAAGTGCATCCATGAGTTTATCTCCCACCATCTAAATAGTACCCAGAAGAGTACAATTCCTCACTGAGAACACAAAGTAAATTCTTATTGAATCCTAAATGTCAAGACAGTCAATGATTGATATCTGCTGCAGATGTTCCTCTTGTGAGAACATCCCCCAGGTGTGTTTGGCAACTGAGTTAAAATCACACTCCTTAAGTAAACACTGTCTTATGCATGTGTACTTTTCATTGTGGGCTTGTCACAACTCCATCCTGGCATGCTGATGTCTACACAGGCATCCTCATAAGCACAAACACAAACACACATCCACTTACTTATCAGAGCGCAGTACTCATCACAAACACTGACCTATGACCTCAGATTTGGACCTCAGGTTAGTCAGTGTATTGTGAAGCTGAGATAAATGCAACTCAAATATACCTGGACCACTTTAAAGCTCAAAATGTAACAGATCACACTGCCCAGTGTCACTGGATACTTTCCTCCAAAGAAATAGTCCCTATGAAAACTCTTGACAGTGCTATGGATTATCCAGACTTAAGAGGAACAATGAATTTTATTGATACCAATTCTAGTTTTGCTTATTGATTCCAATATTTTTTGAAGAACAAAAATATCCTTCCTTAAGTCATGACACAAATAAATATTTTTTTTTTATATAAGGAATAATCATCAGTAACAATTATAATCCAAAGCTATTTAAACAAATAATGGAAAAAAAATCTAATGATTGGACAGACTGTTCCTGGAAGGAGGGTTGTTGGGTTTAGGGCCTAGTCATCTTCTTCATTTTATTAGACTTTGCTTACCACAGAGTAGGCCTGACCACAGATTACTGTAAACTATAATGGTAGTTATTCTGTCAGCCATTTCTGATGTACTAAAAGGAAAACATGAAAGAAGGCCAAAGTCCATGGATTTAGCTGTGAATAACCAAATGTTAATAATGCATTTTGCCTACTTAAGAGGGAGACTCAATAAAAGGGGTTTCT